AAGTCACAGCATAGTTTGTTGGTTCAATAGCCATGGATGGTTAGGTACGAAGTTATTTTAATATGTATATTATACAATAATCTTTGTTAAAATTATGTTTAGAAACTGAGAATTAGGTGTGGTCATTTAATAATATTAGAATTTGGCTGTGGATTTTTTAATTTCGATATATCGATATTTTTAGTCRATATATCGATATATCGATGAAAATGCTGATATCAATATTACGTTATCGATAACGTAATTTTGAAATATCGATATTTCGATATATCGAAGTTAAGACGATTTTTGCCATCCCTAATTCGAACACTGATGTCTGATACTATAATCACAGTATCGTATAATTTTCCAAACCGCCAAAATTCACGGTGTCGACCGGACGTGTACACCAGTGTGCACTATAATATGACATATGACGTGCATTGTGCAGTCAGATTTGGTCAGATGGAAAACGCCATTAGAAATAAATAATAATCAGTAATCTGACCTATCTGAGTAATTACACTTTCCTACCACGTCCCGCGCGATCTATTTCACTTCTGGCGCATGTGCAATAACTACATCAGCCATCGGGGCCGAACTGGTCGGCTTCAAACATGGACTACGCATAATATATGCATAGCTCTATCGGCAGTCTATCCAGTATATATTATCTAAGTAATATACCTATGATTGTCACAGTATGGCAGGTACTAGGCGCGGCACAAAAAATATTAAAATTAATCATTATTTTTTCTTATGACCGACGTCCGCACTCGGCGCACTCCACTTGCAGTTTGCARTGTTTGCACCATTGTATTATCTACGCCGCACCATTGCTATCACTCCGTTCAGTCGTATCAGTTGTTACTTCGGAAAAACATATGACCACTAATCGAGACGATGAGATAACAGCCTACACGGAAGGCACGGATACAACAACGATCATCATTCATCAGGGATCTACGTATTTTGAAGTAATGTTTTTTTTCATCTTTAATAAAAGTATAAAACATACAAATAATGAAATAACGTATTGATCTGACAGGTGACTCAATCACTCGTCCATATTGTCTTCCCGTTGCATTCATTGTCGTGCTCGTTATGGACATGGAAAACGTAAAACAGATATTCCGAGACGCTGGCACCGCGATCAGCAGAGCCGTGCAAGTAAATAATAATAACTTTATTGATTTTTTGAACATAATACTTATTATACGTAGTTGTTCGAGTCTTATTTGATACAACAAATATTCAATGATTGTATTGTATGGCATGTTGTAGTAAACAGCTGCTACACAACCAATCATTGAATAATGATTAAACTTTTCTTTGAACTGTTAGTTTTTGGATCTAAAATCTAAATTAATAATTTAGTAGTAAACTATATTTGTTAACATATGGAACTGTAATTTATTTAAAATTCAAAATTATTTATCTGATATATCCATTAATTATTTTATTAACTTTTATCAAAACAATTATTTTTAAATATTCAAAGATCGACTAATCAATTTAAATATATATCCAGATATTTTCTTACATTATTATCTAAGTAACTAATTCACATAATTCACAGTAATACTTCACTTTTAGCAAGGCTGGGCAAGTTAATGATTTTTTTTAACTCAGTTAAGTTAAGTTAAATATTTTTTGTTCAATTAAATTAAAAGTTAAGTCAATATATTTTTAATACATCAATTAAGTATAAAGTTAAGTTAACAAATTTTGTTAACTTAACTTCAATTAATAAGTTAAGTTAATAGTAAAAAAAAATGCATTGAAAAGGTTTTAAAATAAGTAAAAATCACTTGTATAGTAGGTAATATATCTAAGAATATAAAACGTGCATATATTAATATGATGTATATAATTTAAAAACTGTTGTAGGACTGTATCATTTTATAACTCTATTTAATATTTATATTTCACTCTGGAGTCTGGGTTGATTTATATTTTAGGTTAGATGTGCTTACTTTATTGTTTAACCTTAACAATTCAAAAATAAATAACTCAAACATTGAAAAATAAGGAATAAAAAAACTAGTACTTTTCTGCTGGTTTATTCAAAGTATTTATTAAATTTCAATAACAGTCATTTCAAAATTTTGATCTCCCATTAACCCTTTTTTTTATTGAGCTACTGTCCTCTAGTACTAAAGAACCGCTCAACGTGTGCAAATGAAGGGATGGCAGTATTGTATTTTATATAATATTATACTTCTTTAAAGGGGTTTGGTAAATCTAAAGAAGATTTAATATTTTTATTAGACAAATAATTGTCAACAAAGGCATTTTTTTAATAAAATGGTCACAATTCATGATAATCGTCATTAAAATAAAATATAAATAAATATTAAGTGATAATAATAATAATAAGAATAAGAATTAATGAGTACCTAACAAGCCTGGTATTATTAAACGTGATTTTGTGASCTCGTAGCTATTGATATATCTTATATAATAATATACGGTCATATAGGCGACTAAATGTCACATTGTTACAATGTTATCTCTATATTATAAATCATTTTTTTATTAGTACATCCTTAATTAATATAACATATTAGTGTTATTTATAAAAATAATTACAAAAATATCTTCTTTTTTTCCAATAATATTTTCTAATATTCTACGAATTTTAAATCGACGAACCATTATAGACTAAAATATATTCTAGATAAAACAAAAATTCTAAATTAACTTAATTGGTGATATAAAAAAGTAGAAGTTGATTTTAAGTTAACATAGATAGAAATAAATGAAGTTAAAGTTAAGTTAGGTTAAACACTGAACTAGTAAGTTAAGTTAATAAGTTAAAATTAACTTAACTTTTAAATTAACTCGTTAATGCCTAACCTTGCTTATTAGTAAATATCTAACTTAGTTTTTATTAAGTGCTAAGAATATTCTTAATTTGGAATCACAATGTTTTTATTTATAATTATGTAAATTAATAGATGTGTTTTTAATTTCTAAACAAGTATAAAACCAAACATTTTAATATGTAGATCTAAAGTATTAAATAAAAAAATCATCTATACATTTTCAACTAACAAATTAGGTTTTCAAATCTGATGTCAATTTGCCAAACTATTTTTAAGTACATAATCTACCTGAAAATAGTATTAAATTAAGGTACTTACACATATTATATTTAAATTTATTTTTTGATCTTTTGTTTAATAATCAGCTCAAGACAATATGCTCGACATAATGTAACAGACTGTACCAAACAATTTAAATGACATAATTTAATAAGTTAATAATTAGTTACTTATCATCACCACTGCATCAAAACATACTATCAAAAGCATTTAACATATAAATAAAGGCATTTAATTTAATACTAAAAAGCAATTTGAAAATATTTTACTAAATTAAATACAGTAACTAGTTCCTATTAAAAAAAAATCATCCTAGAATTGTGATTTTATTTAATTTCCGGAATAATTTAAAAAAAAAAAAACAGAATAAATATTTAAAGGCCATTGCAGTTGACAAATGTGAACTGTCAAAGAGTCTTGAACTACACATTATGAACATATTTTAATCTTTAAATAGCTAGTACGGGTACTTTTATGGCCACATAAAATACTCGATAAGACGGTAATAGATAGATCATTATAGTAACATAACATCGACAATGTACAGTCTGCACAAGCTCTTATCGATTTGTATGAATAATATGTAAACTGTGTTTAAAATTATTTGATCAACTGAAAATTAAACATAAAAATAGCGAAAAAAAATACATCCATTGTCTTAGAAATTAAATGAAACCCATTTTTATATTAAAATCATTTTTCTATTATGATTATTAAAAGAAAAGCTTTTGCCTTCAAATCCGAACCCTAATTATAACTAAAAAGTAGATTTTAAGGTTCTTAAAAACTTAAAATATGCAAATTATATGATTTTTTTTCTTATATAGTTCAATAAAAACAAATAACTATTATGCAGTATTCCTTTAGAATCAGGTAAATTATTTATACATAAAAAATTAAATAATTGAATGGTTTTTAATTTTTATCTCTTAAATCAAATTATTTGTTTTACCTAGAAGTATTTTTGATAGAAAATATCATCATAACTCAATAAATTAACAAAATATATGATTTTTTTATGAACAATAATAGAATACATAAAAAAATAGGTTAAGTATTCTTTGATATACAAAATATGCTTTTATGTGCAAAATAAATTTTTCCTATTTTCATTTTCTATACATATAACAATTTTCAAAAATTAAATTAATATAGTCATTTTTAATACAAATCTAAAATTATTTTCAATCTATCTATTATAAAATTGATAACTTATAACTAATTTCAACCATATAATAAACAAAAATATATTAAAATTTCTATGAAAAATTCTGAAATTTTCAATAAAATTAAATTAAGTGCCACTTATCAAGATAAAATATAGCTTATAGAAAGTAGATCTTTTGAATTGTGTAGCTATCTATTGGTACATATTAGTACTTTTTAAAATTATGGTATTTAGTTTACAGAAGAAAAATTGGGTAAAGCAGAGAAAACAGAACAAGATCCAAATTTTGAACAACTAGTCACTTTTTGTGATAACACAAAACAGAACACTGAATCTATATTGAAAAACATGGAATTTATTTTGAATTCTAATCCTGGTTAGTTTTACTTAAATTTTGAATTATAATTAACTATATGTTTTTATTCTTACAAATATTATATTTTTTTAGGCATGAGAGTAGAAAATCTTTTTTTCTTAGACAAGAAAAAATCGGGACTCAGCAGCTCAGAATATTTAGGAATTGCCATGACAGAAGCTGGGAACGATTTTGGACCAGATACTGCTTATGGTAAAGTAATTTTTTTTAAATAAAAAATGTATTCTCAATTTCTGATTAACTTTAGGTAGTGCACTTATAAAAGTTGGAAATATACAGCAAACACTGGGACTCAATCAAAGGGAATTCATTAAATCGGCCAATGACTGTTTTGTGAACCCAATGAATAAATATTTAGAAACTGACATGAAGACTGTTGTCAAGGAACGATCACTATTAGAAAAAAGAAGGCAAATTTACATAATTAATAATTGTTACGCTTGAATGCCTGTTAAGTTGACTAATTTTATATAATATATAGACTTGACTTAGACGCTTGCAAAACTCGAGTGCGCAAGACCAGAATGCTTGCAACGACTAAAGTTAAGGTATATTAAGTTATTAATTAATAATAGAATAAAATATGGTTAAATGGATATTTAAATATTTTTATGCAGCAAGATGACTCAGGTCCTACTATGGAAGAGTTAATAGATAAGGTAAAACAAGGAATACATTTTTAGCAGAATATGTTTATTTTGTAAATTTTAATGTTTGCTATGTAGTTATGTTGATATTATTCGCTTATGTCCTAATTATTTCTGATTTCTAATGTTATTATTGTTGTCTTAGGCTGAACATGACCTCAAAGTAGCTCAAGAAGAGTATGATCGTCAGGCAGAAATCACCAAACTTTTGATGGAAGGTGTTCCCAGTGCACACCCTCAACATTTGCAACACTTATTAGACTTTGTTGATACACAAGCAGCTTTTTATTTAAAATGTCATGAGTCTTTAATGAGCCTCCAATCGGATCTTTCTGGGTAGGTTAAAAAATTTAAATGATTTATAGATTATTTACATTATACTCACATAATTTCAGAAAGTTATACAATACATTTTAAAGTAGTTTTATTTATACAGGGTGATTCTGTTATCGAACAACACTCATTATTTAAAAAAGTATTGACTTTTTTCAAAATATTTTTTAAATGGTTTCAAGTTGTTAAAAAACCAACGTTTTTATTAAAAAATTATTTCTTTAAATATTTTTATCCTTATCATTTTTTAAGTTTTTACTTTTTTGAATGACAACAGAGTTTTAATTTCATATTCCAAAGCAGAATATTTTTTAAGTATTTTGATTCATAAAAATCGAATTTAGGACGAGTAGTTTATGAGYTATAAGTATTTAAAGTTTAGACAAGCGGAGTAGTTGACAAATATTTTGCGGGGTAACCCCGTACCATTCAACTCTGCCAATCTAAACTTTAAATACTTATAACTAAAGACCGGATTTTTATGTTTTTACATCTTTTTACTGAGAGTATGCAGCTCCAATTGGATAAGCTTTCTGGACGATTCGTTTACCTATGATCTGATATAAAAAAGTTTTTAGAGCATTAAAAAGAATATTTCAAGGTTAGAGAATATTTTGTGCAAAAAAACATGTTTTAGGAATATATTGGTATATTKGGGTTTAATTTGAATATTTTATAAAAAAAAATCCAAAACTATTTTTATTGTAGTATCATATTATTTATCTTAACGAAAGGAATATTGAAAAGAACATAAAATTGATAAGAAAATCAATTATAATAATTATTATTAATTTCTATAATATTATATTCTCTTATCTTATTTTTATAGACGGACCATGGTAGTTGCATAGAATATAGACATATAGTACAATAGAATAGTATTCTATGGTAGTAGTTCCCGCGTTCTACGTGGGTAGCACTGATCGTGTTCCGCACACTTCWTTGTCCTATGCTTCTGCGCATGTACGTAGAGTACKCTAACATCTCTATCTGTGATATACTGATATCACGGAATACAGATATCAAATAATCTTTACAAATTCATTAATCATTTTAATTTTTAATGAACACCTAATATTATTCTGTTAATCAACTATATGCAATTATTTTTTATTTTTATTATTTAAACTTGCAATTATTATTTTTTAAGTTCAAAAGGCTCAATTATTTAAGTTAAAATTAATTTAGTAGGTACATAATATTATTCTGTTATTTTATATTTAACTATTTTATGCAATATTATTAAATTTTTTAAATTCAAAAGACTGAATTATTTAAATTTAAATTGTTTTGATACATAGTATTATTTTGTTATTTAACTATATTATGAAATAAATTTTTATTTTTTGAATTCATAAGCCTGAATAATTTTTTTTTTAAGTTGTTTTAATACATAATATTATTCTTTTATTCATCAATACACAATACATTTTTGTTTTTATTATTTAAAACATGTTATTATTATTGGTTGTACACTCRCACATCTAAAATACAATTAAACAATATAGGTACACTAGTATATCATCATATTATTACTGTTTTTATTTTTTCAGTATTCAATACATTTTTACGAAAAAAAATATTTTTGAATATTAAAGAATATTTTGATGAAATTATATAGCATAGAAACATCTTATTTCTATGGTTTTAAATGCATATAAATCCGGTCTCTACTTTTAACTCCTAAACTACTAGCCCTAAATTTGATTTTTATGAATCAAAATACTTAGAAAAATATTCTACTTTGGAATATGAAATTAAAACTCTAKSTTGTCATTCAAAAAAGTAAAAAAACTTAAAAAATGATAAGGATAAAAATTATTTAAAAATATAATTTTTTAATAAAAACATTGGTTTTTTAACAACTTGAAACCATGTAAAAAAATATTTTGAAAAAAGTAAATACTTTTTTAATAATGAGTGTTTTTTGATAAATCAATCACCCTGTATATTTAATTTATATTGATTAGTAAAAATTATAAAAACCTTTGTAAAATCGTTTTTTTTTTTAACTACTGCTATATTCCAAAATGCACTCTACCACAATTTGAGGTTTATATCTTTCATTTGGACTTTTACAATATTGCAGATATTTACCTCTTTAGTACTTTAGTTTGAATTAATTGAAATATATTTTTTAAATTTAATTTTTTTATCTATTATACATATTTAATTTTAATTTTTAAAAACAAAATTTATATTTAAAATGGTATAATTTGTTAATGTGTAATAATTTATTTCAATTATACAATAATTTTAAGATACCTAAAGTCTAAATAGGGCATACCATAGTCACGATATTCGAGTAAAGCGCGTATTGGAAGATGGCAAAAACTACATGCGGTGTGTGAGCCCCACTGAGCCCACCATTACAATCTGGGGAAGTAAAACTTCTTTCATACATTTTAGGGTCCTTGAAATTATAAGTGAATTATAAATATAAATTATATGTAAGATATATTTATAATTATATGTATAACAACAATGGTGTAACTGCAATCTTTGCGTTTTTTTTTTTTTTTTTTTTTTTTGTGACGATTTTTTTCCCATTCATCCCTCAAGAAAAAAGTTTTACTTCAACAAACAGTTTATTAAAATATAAATAGATATTAAAACATTACAACTTGTTAAACTATATTGTGTTTTTCTCATTGTTTTATTTGACATTTTAGTACAGAAACAAAAAATAAAAGAAGTTAAATTTAGAATGGCTGCAAGAGAGCTGTGTGAGAAAAGATTAATTTTGTTATCTTAAAATCGATTGGCACTTATTAAAAATATAAAAATTTTATTTACATTTAATTAAAATTTAGTTTATACTTACTGTACACGAATAAATATATATTGTCAANAATTTTTTCCCAAATTTTTTTTCTATTTTTTGTGGATTCCTTATAAGTTACTTATTGTTATAAGAGCAGACTTGATGTATTTAGTTAAATAATTACATTTTGGGACAGATTTCATTTCTATTTATTTATTTAGCTATTATTTAATTAATATATATTAAATGTTAATTATGAGTTTTACAATTAAAAAGCAGAAATTTCTAAGATAAATGAAAAGATTCTTAACAATTTATATTAGGACAAGAATATTGTAATATTTTTATAATATATTCGTCTTTATCCATTAAAGTCATGGTGAATGATTTTGATTGCAATATAATATATAATAAATAAATATATAGTATACATTTCATTATTACAATAGCCATTTTTATTTTTAGATTTCCGTCAGACCAAGACAATGTAGCAACATTATCTCCTGATACTCCAGCATTGGGACGTATTCAACAAGCTAAAGTTATTACTAGTCAAGAGCCGCGAGATGCTAATGATTTAAGGTTAAGTGCAGGAGAAGTAAGTTACTTAAGCCTTTAATTACTAGTATTCATCATTTACCTGTGTAGTGTTAATGGTAACAGCTTGATAGTTAAGTTAATTTTCAATAATACCAAAAGTGTAATTAACTTCATTCCTCAATTATATATAATAATTATGTTTAATTACTTTTTTTCTTTTAACAGATCATTAGTATTGATGTAAATTCCGACATTGGTTCAAACTATTTTATTGGTAAAAAAATTCAAAAAGGAAAAGTTTATAAAAGCAATGTTAGACTTTTAAACCAAGGTTAAATTGCATATGAATCACTTCATTTACATTCCCTATAACAAATTTTTTAATTACTTTAATTTTCTTTCTAAATCTTTCCATATATTTTGTCTATATACTCTTTCTTATTTATTATATTTAAATTTGTTACTTAAAATCAACCTGGTTCTTAGCTTGTTAGGGATATTATTTTATTATAAAATTAGTTTGTTTTACATGCTGATATTTGTTTTTGATTTGTTCAATTTTATTATTTCTATATGTGTTAGTGAAAAGTTATGAACTCAATCAATTGATCTGATKTTTATTGTTCTAACAAATTTTATGTGTATTTGTTTATATTTACCATTTACATTTGAAATAATATTGTAATTATTATTTATTCTGACATTTAATATTTCATTACACAAGATCTGTAATTTTCAAAAAACTATTATTCAATACTTAAGTTTATAATGTACAATAATATTATTCTTATCATTGCTATTTTTTTTCAGAATTGTAAGTTTTACAAAATATTACTCATTTTATAAAAATGTATTACAAGGAGAATTAATTTATTATTATGCATGACTTACATTTCTGAAAATTTGCTTAGCACTTAATATTTAAGGAGTTAATCACAGTATCATATTATCTACATTCAATAAGTAAAATTACATAATTATTTAACTAAAAATCTAAATTACAAACCGATTATATAATTGTTACATTTATTATTTTTGCTGTTTAAAATGAAAATAAAACTATCATCGAATTCTAGGTATGTGAACCCTTATTAAATTTAAATTTATAAATTATTTACATTTATATTCACATTCAATATGATATTATATGTGTATTTATGTAATTTGAATTTAACTTGAACAAAAACATTAGTATAATAATAACATTACTAGTTGTGATAGATTTTAAATTTTCAATATAGTTAATGTCGCCAAAGAACTAATTATTAGTGTTCAAAAAAACCAAAATTTGTGAGTGTATACAGTTGTAATGAACAAATGTAGCTTTTACTATTAATTATAAAACTTTTTATTATATACAGTTTTGTTATTTTAATTATATTTCTATAGTAAATTAATTGTTTTTATTTATTACAATTTAGTCAAATTAAATTTATGGGAAATCAACTTTGGAAATTTGTATTATTTACTCTGTTATCATAGATCCTTTATTCCTTTCAAATTCTTTTCAATTTTTACTATATATGTTTAAAAATAATAATAATAATAATCCATAACCATTTAATGAATAGTTATGGATGATTTATTGTTTGTTTGTCTCATGAAAATTATAAGTGAAAATTTCATAACCTCATGATCAATGATTAAAATGAAATATTATAGTAATCACTATGCATATGGTGTAAACATCATTAATATAGGAGAAAATAATTTCAGATTATTAGTGTTCCTTAATATATAATATTTTCTTCTAATAATATGATGTATAATTAAAATCAACAAAATTACATTCTGAAATGTTGGTTGTGTAAAAGCCTTATATACATCCAACATTATTATGTTATTCAGGGTGTAACAGAAAGACCTGACAAAAAAAAAAAATATGACAATTTTTTTAATATTATATTATGAATAAATAATTTTAGAAATATACTCATGTCAGCAAATTCTCAAAAATCATATTTTTTAAAAAGTTATTGCGTTCCAAATTAATTTAACCAAAAAAATATTGAATTTTAAAAATATTCTAAAAAATAAACTACTTGATTTAGATAAATATTTTTACCATCAAAATTGTTCTTTTAAACAGATTCATAAATAGGCTATTTTGAATTTATCCAACATTTTTTTTTTCAATACTAAAAAATGTATTATACAGGTTCACTTAATGAACAAAAAAAAAATAAAAAATATTAACGTGAAAATAGTTTATTTTTTAGAATATTTTTAAAATTCAATATTTTTTTTTTCAATACTAAAAAATGTATTATACAGGTTCACTTAATGAACAAAAAAAAAATAAAAAATATTAACGTGAAAATAGTTAGTCCAAATGTCAGTTCTATCAGTTACACACCTTGTATACTACAAGTCATAACATAACAAGTTCTGTGTACTTCTAAACACATTATTATTATTATTTCTTCTTGCTCAGAAAATTTATATTTATGATTCTAGAATCTTAATTTGAGTTAATTTTTCGAGAGGTTGAATAGTTCAAAGTTCCAAAACTAAATACATAGTCATATTTTATACATTATATTCTAGAATATATTTGCCTATAAAAAGTATAAGAACCAACTACCAAGTATTAAACAAAAATTAAACATTTAAAAAAATAAATAAAATATTAAAATATAATATAATATATTATGAAATATAAAATTGTATACATATAATTATTACCTAATGTAGCTAATTACAAATATCTAGTGTGTTTGATAATCATGTTAGATTTATCAAAGAATATTTTAATAACAACTTTTTAATATAACAAACATTGTCAATCACATCTTATTTATAGTAATAGTGGATCAGTGGATGACATTAGAAATTAAAATAAGAGCAGCAAAATTAAAATACATTTAATTCTTATAAGAACAAAACGGATTTTAGTCAATGTTATTTGTGTCAAAATGTAGAGAAATTATATATACATTATAAATATAATAGAATACCATTAAATTAATATTCCATGGTTCTATATTATTACTAATTAGCTAATGTTTATCTAAAATTGAACAAACCATATTTTCTACACCATAACTTTAAGAAAAATATTATTGATTTAGAAAAAATTAATACAATGTAATTTGATATAAAAGTGATTTGTTAATACTAAAAAAATATATGACCTAAAAACATATACTATTATTAGTAGTAGCATTATTTAATATTTACAATAATATATTAATATTTTAAGTATAATTATAATGATATTCACATAATTATGCCACACAATGTCATAACCATATTATCTTTATTCTATGGTCATAACTAATTATCATAATAACATAATAATATACATTAGAATCCACTTAATTGAGAATTGAGACATACCTAATGGTGATGACCTATTTGTCCCTATTATCTGACGGTCCCGATTAACCAATTTTTTTATTTTAAACTACGAGAATGTATAATGATTTTATTTACATTTTTTTATTACAAAATACAATATTCATATTTTGTTAGGTTTCAGAAAATCGTTCTTCTTCTTTGTTTTCACTTACCTATTAAGAATTTGCTTATTTTCAGTCGTCGAAGTTGTATTTTTTTTTTATATAATCCTTTAATTATTTATACAAGAGTACAATTTTGTTGTTTTTTTATAAATTAAGTACCTATTTTTAACTCATATAAATTGGACCATTTGACGTATATATCTAATAAATCTAAATGTTATTTATCTTATAATTAAAAAAAAATTAAAATTAAATAGGTAAGCATGTTTAATAATTTGTTTCTGAGTTATAACTTATTGCCGTGTATATTTAATTATATTGTATAATTTTGTATCAATATATAGACAATATAGCTAAACAAATTGGTTATTATTAATTAGGGTTTAGGTACTACAAAACTTTTTTACACAAAAGTCACAATTTTTAATTATTGTTTTGATAATACTAAGTTTTGCAACATCATAATCCCATTACTCATTAATTTGAAAGTTATTAATATACCATTAAAGGCTATAGACTAGCTATAGTAGTGTTTAATAAGCTTTAGTTATTTTTTGTTTTTATACCTACTGTAATAATTAGAACTTATTGATAAACTGCATGTCTGCATGTAGATAAATTATACTTGCAAATAATATGTTTTACGTTTTAAATATGAACATAGTTATATGTACTTATATAAAAATTTAAATATATCAACTATATTAAGACATCAAACTGAAGAACAAAAATGTATATGTATATATATATAATTGTATAATAAATAAGGTAACAACTTATCTCCACCTTCATCCACCCCCTGTATGGAGACCATAATTATATAAGAAATTAAAAAAAATTTAGACATCCCTCCACTTATTTTGAGCCATTTTGACTACTACAGACGTTTAGTTAAGTTTTAGGGGCACTTTTATTTCCATTTTCCAGCCGAAAGACGTGAACTAAAACTTATCGAGGAAGTAATTTTGTATCAAGGCTAGTCGACTCTAATATGTACGTGTTAATAGGATAAAAATAATTGACAAAAATAAAATAATTACCCGTATACGTACAATTATAACACATTGTATGACATAGAATTAATATTTAAAATATAATAGAGACGTAGAGATAAGATTATTACGATTTCAGTAGGGGAATAGATTAGATTAAGCTATTTTAGACCATTATAGGTAACCGATAGTTGTTTAAAATTAATACATTCATTCGGGACCTTGCCGATTTTTCCCTTTAGAACGGTTGTCCCCATTAATTAACTAATCAAGCAGATTCCAATGTAAACATTAATTTATAATAGAGCCAGAGTTTTCGTCCACAATGAACAGACGTTTCCCCTGCCGAATCGAAGCACGAAGCCCTTCGTACAAATTAGTCTCTAAATAGTAAATAGTGACCACCTTTCTTATTTTGAATAGACTATGTGCTTAAAGTCTGCTTTACAATGTCCTCTATAAATTAAAAAAATAACATATGCCGGTCGGATGAGTAAACCGTAAAAAAAAACACATTTATCTTTCAAGAAATTAAAACCTTTAGCCTTTAGGTAGTATGTAACTAACATTTAGATTCTGAACGAAGTGATTTTACAATGATGTGTTTTTTTTTTGTTTTTTTTGTCTGTGACTCTGTGTCTAGCATAACTAGTCGAAATAATGCTTAAATTTTGACTTTTTTTGAGTTATTTATACTGAGACCACTGAAATTTTCAGTTTTTCTGAAATTTTAG